CGAACGTATGTCACTTCAAACTTAGCAACACGTCTCAACCTGCCTACAGTCGGTAAGCAGTATATTTCTTTAGCAACCTTTGGCAATAGCAAGCGACACACAACAGAATATGACCAGGTGGAAGTTAGGGTGCAGTGCAATGATGGCTCTATGCACCTCCTCAAAGCATGTGTGTTACCAGAAATAACTGCACCGATTCAGAGGGTAGAATTGGCAAAGCGGTATCCAGTCTTGCAATCCTTGCCCCTTGCCGAACCGCTAGCTTCTTCTTCAGGCTCATTGCCCATCGACATACTGGTGGGCCTCGATCACTACTACCATATTGTGGGTCCAGACCGCTTGGAACTTCCAGGGGGACTTGTCCTCCTGCAGTCTTCCCTCGGCTTCATTTGTACAGGTACGGTACCTACACCGGCCACGTCGGAGGGTCAATCATGTCTTGCAGTCCACAGTCACAGCGATGGAGATCCCTCTATGGACTTGCAGCGGTTTTGGGCAGCGGAAGAGTTCCCTGTCCCAGACAACGCAGACCACGAAGACATCGTTCTTCAGCGATTCCTCCACACACTCTCTTTCGAAGACTCTCGCTATGTTGTCGAGTGGCCATGGCGGGACCTGCACGACGAACTTCCCTCCAACTACGGATTAGCACTGGGCCGATTGACTTCCCTTTTGAAACGTGTCACGTCAAAGCGTACTCTTCTTCAACAGTACAACAGTGTGTTGCAAGATCAGTTGACCAAAGGCATTATTGAGATAGTACCGCCTGGGCCCACTTCGAATTCTGTGCATTATCTTCCCCACCACTGCGTAGAGAAGCCTTCACACACGACTACGAAGCTCCGAATAGTCTACGATGCTTCCGCCAAGCTCTCACGCTCCCACCCCAGCCTGAACGACTGCCTAGCTGCTGGCCCGAACCTCGTCCCTGATCTCGCTGGAGTCCTTCTGCGTTTCCGCCTTTCGCCTATTGCCATTTCCAGTGACATAGAAAAAGCTTTCCTTCAACTCAGCCTATGCAAAGCGGACAGAGACGTCACTCGTTTTCTGTGGGTCAAGGACCTTGATCAACCACCCTCACTAGAGAATCTTGTAGTCTACCGCTTCTGTCGTGTGCCATTCGGGGTGATCAGTAGCCCCTGCCTTCTAGCAGCTACTGTTCGCCATCATCTCTCTATTGCCGACGTCCCAGACGCGCAAGAACTTCTTCGGAATATCTATGTAGACAACTTGTTTATCGGCGCAACCTCTCCTGATGAGGCCCTTCATAAGTACACTGCAACGAAGAAGTTATTCTCAGCCGCATCGATGAATGCCCGAGAATGGTCCAGCAACAGTCCAGAGTTCCTTCACCACGTTCCCGAACTCGATTGCGCTTCAACCGGTACACAAAAGTGCCTTGGTATGCTTTGGGATACCTGTCAAGATAGTCTCTACTGTACAAAGGTCGCTGCCACTCATGCCGTCATAGCAACCAAACGTCACCTACTGCAAACCGTGGCCAAGTTCTTCGATCCCCTTGGATTGCTTTCTCCTGTTCTGGTGCGCGCCAAGATACTTCTCCAGGACGTGTGGAAGTTAGATGTAGGCTGGGATGACCCTCTTCCACTTGAAATCTTGGATCAATGGCAGAGTATTGCGATTGATTTAGAAGATGCGCATACTGTAGCCTTCCCTCGGTACGTCGGCAACGCATCACCCAATGTCTCGCATGCGCTCCATGTCTTCTGCGATGCGTCTGAAGCAGCCTATGGCGTAGCTGCCTATCTTGTTACTGACAATGCCCACGAGCGGGCATCTCACCTCATCTACAGCAAGTCTCGTGTTGCGCCAGTAAAGCCGTGCTCCATCCCCCGCCTCGAGCTGATGGCAGCTCTACTTGGTGCCCGAGTCATCCTCTACTTACGCAAGGAGCTTCCTTTGGCCTTCTGCTCCACAGTGTTGTGGTCTGATTCGACCACCGTTCTCCACTGGCTACAATCAAATGACAAGTTGCCAGTCTTTGTCCTCAACCGTGTAACCGCAATACGAGCCGTCAACGATCTCCAGTGCCGTCATGTTCGCTCAGCTCACAACCCAGCGGATCTGCCGTCACGAGGAGCATCAACCTCATTCCTACTGGACAACATCCTCTGGTGGCACGGACCGCCCCTCCTCACGCAGCCTCTAGCTGATCTACCATCAAATGGCCCAATCGCGCACGCCACCATCGCCCTTGGGGAGGGTCCTCCGGATTCAAAGGTGCCAGAGTCTCAGCAACCACACAATAAAAAACCCGATGCACATCACAAGCAAAAAAAAAGATGTGATGAAACACCCCCATTTGATATTGATGTAACACGGTTTAGTTCGTTCTACACCTTAGTACGTGTCTCTGGTTTGTGTGCCCGCTTTGTGTCCAGACTCAAGTCGAAGCTACCGGGAGGGGCCGCGGCTGGGCCTCTCCCCCTCAGCAGCAGGGAAACGGAACAAGCACAACTGCTTTGGATACGCCATTGGCAGCAGCGACACTACCCAGACGTTGTCGACTGCTTGGCATCCAACAAGCCTCATCAGCTGATCGGCAAGCTAGGCCTGTTCAGTGATGAAGACGGTATCATCCGGTGTCGTGGACGACTGGAGAATGCAGACCTGTGCAATGACGCCAAGTTCCCGATCCTACTACCCAGAGCTGTAGCCAGCCTCGTCATCACTGACTGCCACAAGAAAGTGTTTCACTTCGGTGTGAACCACACGCTCGCCAGCCTAAGACTGAAGTACTGGGTACCGAAGGGACGAGCGGCAGTCAAATCCACTCTGCGACTTTGCCAGGTTTGCCGGCATCACAGTGGTCCCCCATTCGCCAAACCAGATATGGCCCCCTTGCCATCATCGCGTGTGAAGCCATCCAGAGCCTTCAGCCACACTGGAATTGATTTCTTTGGCCCAGTATATGTCCGTGGCCAGCCAGTTGCTACAAAGGTCTGGGTCTGTTTGTTTTCCTGCATGTCCACCAGAGCAGTGCATTTGGAAACAGTGAGCAACATGACCACAAGTGAATTTCTGCTAGCCTTCCGCAGATTTGTTGCACGGCGTGGAACCCCAGCACTCATAGTGTCGGACAACGCGCCACAATTCAAGGCAGCGGCCACAGCTTTAGAAGTCGCATTCCGCGATATTCTACACCATGAGGACGTCAGGTCCCACTTCGCCCGTCATGATATCCAATGGCAATTCATAGTGGAATCAGCACCATGGATGGGTGGATTCTACGAGAGGCTTGTGGGCACAGTGAAGAAAGCTATGAAGAAGGCACTGGGCAGATCCCTAGTCAGTCTTCAACACCTCAGCACGCTGCTCACTGAGATAGAAGCAGTTGTGAATTCCCGTCCACTTATTTACATCGACGAAGATGTCCGTACTGTACTGACACCTGGTCACTTCCTCTCCATCAGCCAGAGCACTGGCCTCTTTGATCTCCCGGAGACAAGTGACGACCCTGACTTCCGCCCGACTCCAACCACTGCCGAAGAGTTACTCGCCGGTTGGAAGAAAGGTCAGAACCGCCTCCATGAGTTTTGGCGCATGTGGTGCAATGACTACCTGCTGAGTCTACGCTCAACGCACACCACCCATCACAGCCAAGGCCGTTCTGTCCTCCATCGTACACCTGCAATTGGAGAAGTTGTGTTGATAAAGGACCAGCTTCCCCGAGCATCTTGGAGATTGGGCAAGGTGTGTGAAGTACATGTCAGTGCAGACAACAAGATCAGGTCGGCGTCTGTCACCACTGCTGATCGCCGCACGCTGAAGCGTCCACTCAGCTTACTCTATCCGCTGGAACTGAGCGTGACAGCGACACCACCAGCCGGTGTTACAGCAGATGTCGCCTCAGAACCTGATGCCGTCACAGACTCTACTACATCTCGTCCACAGCGCGCTGCCGCAGCCAAGCAGAGAATTGCGCTGAAGAGTCTCATTGAAGATGATGCCGTCTAGCGCTACCAGTAAGCATATTTCTCCTTTCCTCTTTCCTGTACTGATTTTTCTCAAATTATTCTTTCGCTCATTTTCTCTCCTTTCTTCTTGGTGGGGAGTGTCACGAACATCAGTCGTGATCATTTATGTGCCCCCTTTTTTGGCACCAAGCGATTCCCTTTTGTATGCACCCAGCCATGTCTGGCTGTCCTGCAGCTAGCAGTGTGCTCTACTTGCTCTCTGTTGTATGCATGTACTCGTTTCTGGCTGCCGTGCATGTCGCGGTGTGCTCCCCTTTCTGCGCATGTATCCATTTCTGGCTGCCATGCATGTCGCGGTGTGCTCTCTTTCTGCGCATGTATCCGTTTCTGGCTGCCGTGCATGTCGCGGTGTGCTCCCCTTTCTGCGCATGTATCCGTTTCTGGCTGCTACAGCTCGCGTTGCGCTTCCCTTGCTCTCCTATGTGTACACACGTCCATTTCTGGCTGTACCCGCATGCCTATTTCTGCCTTCGCGCTGACCCCTGAGGAATCGCTTGAGCCTAGTATGGATCCAGTGATCCGAATGTAGCGTCGTTCCCAGCAAGAACTTGCGGACTTTATATTTTGTTGCTCTACAAGCAGCTTTTCGCTAGTCTTCTTGATGTCTCTTCTTAGAGTAGAGACAAGTTTTTTCCTGCTCTAATCAGTAGCTCAGAGCTACATCAATAGCAATAATAAAACCTTATAAAAGACAAAAAAAACTCTTGTCGATGTGATGACAACGACGACATACATACCTAGTGTATAGCAGTGTGTATATACATTTACATCTGATTGGAGGAAGTATATCCAGTCGCTTTATCGAACTGCTCGTATTTCTACAAGTCCAATTACCACCTTGGATTGTGGATAGAAAATGCCGCCAAGTTTTTTCGGGTTTCCGGGGGAAGTAGTCAGCTCTCTTGACATTGTCTGTCTGTGTGACAGGGTTTGAAGCGATACAGTGAGTGATGTGGCTCTGATCATTCCATCATGTCCACTTTGTGTGTTTATATCCCGCAGTGCCCTTGTACAAGACCTGCGGATCCGAAAAGGTGTGGTTCAAGTCGCAGCTTGGCTCGTTCAACTATTCCTATTCAACCGCTCACTGTAATGGCTACCTCCCAACGTTAACAAATGTGGAGAATGCTTGCTTCAAGGACCTCATACAAAGTGCTCTCTGGTTATGGCAAAGGCCAGCAGTTTTCCTCTGGGCCCAGAATGACCAATTCCTACAGTTTGACGGTGCAAACTTCACAACCATTACTCCACCCTCAGCTGCTAGATTAAGCAAAGTTCTTCTCATCTGTTATGAAGGTATGGGCAAACTTGCCATTGTGCGTGTCAGTCCTATCTCCTGTCATTGTATTTAAGCTGTGTTCACCCGCAGCCAGTCATGTTTGCAATGTGCTGAAAAGGCTTGGCTTGAGCGGCTCAATCTGCCAACACATGAGGAAAGGGATGATGAGTTTTCGCTCAGGAAAAACAAGTAGAGATGACTTATTAGGTTGTAGTAATATACCAGCTCTCTAATGTTGCCATGTGCAAAAGTATTGTCGTCTTGGATCAAAAGTCTGACTTTGAAATCACTCAATTGCAGCTAGTAAATATCTTATGGTACAGGTGGAATCTTGATAATTCAAACCCCAAAATGCAACCCAAAATTTCAATTATTCAGACAATATGTTACAAGTTATGGCTAAACTGTCCATCAAAGTAACGAGTTGTTTTTAATTATTCAGATAAAAACTCAGAGTTGTAACAAAGCTTCCAAACTCTCTCTCTTGTGTAATCATTCAGATATTTAACTCAGATACTGAGCGAATGAGAGATGCAAAATAGAAGAATTCACATGGAAACGAGTTATAAAGCAACTATCCACGACCGCAACAAGATGATAAGCAGTCAGAAAGTGCGATAACAGGGCACAAAACTGACATGCTACTGGCATTCAACGACCTGAGACGTAGCTCTAACACATCTCCAGTTTGCAAACAAACAGCCTTCCAACTTGGAAGGTTCACGGTTCGGTAGGATCGAATGTGGCTGTTGGTTTGCGCACTGGAGATGTATTAGAGCTAGGTGTCAGGCTGTTGAATGTCTCAGTGGCCTGCCTGCATCCCTCTGTCACTCTGTATCTCTATCTCTCTGTATCCCTATCTCTCTGTATCCATATCTCTCTATATCTCTGTATCTCTATCTCTCTGAATCTCTCTCTGTATCTCTATCTCTCTATCTCTCTGTCCCTCTGTCTCTCTATCTCCCTGTCTCTCTGTATCTCTATCTCTCTCTATCTCTCTGTCTCTCTGTCTCTCTATCTCTATCTCCCTGTGTTCCTATCTCTTGTATCTCCATCTCTCTGTCTCTCTATCTCTCTGTCTCTTTATATCTCTGGCTCTCAATCTCTCTCTATCTCTGTTCCATCAGATATACATAAACGTACAACTCAACCTACCACCGAACCCACAACTCAACCCACCACCCAACCCACAACCCAACCCACAACTCAACCCACCACCCAACCCACCACCCAACCCACAACCCAACCCACAACTCAACCCACCACCCAACCCACCACCCAAACCACCACCCAAACCACAACCCAAACCACAACCCAACCCACCACCCAAACCACAACCCAAACCACAACCAAACCCACCACCCAAACCACAACCCAAACTACCACCAAACCCGGAACCCAACCCACCACCCAAACTACAACCAACCCCACCACCCAAACCACAACCAAACCCACCCCTCAGCCCACCACCCAACCCACCATCGAACCCACCACCAAACCCGCAACCAAGCCCATCCCCCAACCCACAACCCAAACCACAACCAAACCTACCACCCAGCCCACCACACAAACCACAACCCAAACTACAACCAAACCCACCACCCAACCCACCACCCAACCCACCACCCAACCCACCACCCAACCCACCACCCAAACCACAACCCAAACCACAACCAAACTCACCACCCAAACCACAATTCAACCTACCACCCAAACCACAACCCAAGCCACAACCCAAACTACCACCAAACCCGGAACCCAACCCACCACCCAAACTACAACCAACCCCACCACCCAATCCACCACCCAAACCACAACCCAAACCACAACCAAACTCACCACTCAGCCCACCACCCAACCCACCATCGAACCCACCACCAAACCCGCAACCAAGCCCATCCCCCAACCCACAACCCAAACCACAACCAAACCTACCACCCAGCCCACCACACAAACCACAACCCAAACCACAACCAAACCCACCACCCAACCCACCACCCAACCCACCACCCAACCCACCACCCAACCCACCACCCAACCCACCACCCAACCCACCATCCAAACCACAGCCAAACCCACCACCCAACCCACCACCCAACCCACCACCGAACCCGCAACCCAACCCACCACCCAAACCACCCCCCAAACCACAATCCAAACCACAACCAAACCCACCACCCAACCCATAACCAAACCCATCCAAAACCAAACAGCCCAACCCACAACCAAACCTACAGCCCAACCCACAGCTCAACCCACAGCCCAACCCACAGACCAACCCACAGACCAACCCACACCCAAACCCACAGCCAAACCCATCCGCAAACCCACAGTCCAACCCACAGCCCTAACCACACCCCTCCTCACAACTCAAAACACTTCCCAGCCCGCCACCCTGCCCCCCACCCAAGCCACAACCTTCCCCACGGCCCACCGCACAGCCCACCGCACAGCCCACCCCACAGCCCACCCCACAACCTTCCCCACGGCCCACCGCACAGCGCACCCCACAGCCCACCCCACAACCTTCCCCACGGCCCACCGCACAGCCCACCCCACAGCCCACCGCACAGCCCACCCCACAGCCCACCGCACAGCCCACCGCACAACCTTCCCCACGGCCCACCCCACAGCCCACCCCACAGCCCACCCCACAGCCCAACACCCAATCCAACCTACCAAACAGCCGAAAAGTCAATCTTCAAATGTGACAGGCAAAGAGATGGCAAACGAAACGCAGACGCAGGCTCCTGGTGTGGTAACCATGGATGCCATTCCGCCATCGGTCACTGCAAAAGGTGAGATGGCAAAGTAATGTTTTCACACAGAGTGCACGCATTGAAGACCAAGACGATGGGCATGCGAATCATCAGGCTCGTGCTGTAGAGTAAAATTTAATATTCTAAAAGTTGCCTTCCTCCCTTTGAACACTGGTAGTGAGTGCAGTCCAGTCACACAGATAACGCACACAGAGCAACGCGCTAATGGAGTCACCGAACTTCAGTTCCTGGTTGAATATGGATTCAACCAGGAACTGAAGTTCGGTGACAAATTTTAACTGCACGTAGTTGACAATAAAATCAGACCCCGTACCTTTTGTGCTCTTCTGTCCTTTGTATCGGGAGGGGGGGGGGGTCAAGGTCTATAACGACCAAACATCACCCGGCATGGCCAAATTTCCGATTTCGCTCAAAGTTGGCTCCTTGTATCCCTGGGTGGACCTCATTCACCCACTACGACAGTTTGGTGCCCAGTTTCTGGCATTTTGGGCGAAGTCAAAAGTTTGACTAAAATACACCCTGAAACAAGGTACACATATGTAACACGCATACTCAGTCTCAACTCTCAAAGCACATGGTTACGTGAGTTATCATCAGTGTTCCTTGTCTCACACGGAGGAGAAGAAGACCCAGGCAGTGCGAGTAGGCGCACAGCTATCCATGCGTTCCTACGGTGTACTATCTATGTGTATACTCATAACGTGTGGTAAAGTAGCCATACCACACACATGTGTTCCCGTCAGGTAGCTAGCGGCCTGCGCCGATAATAATGCGCAGTCACATCGCACTGCACCTCGCCCCGTTGTAAACCATGGTGAATGTGTTGTCGTTCTCCCTGCCGTTGCAGCCTCTGTTTGCGCCACTCCGCCGGTGATATCCAATGGTGTTGCCGTGAGGACGAGCGGTGCTCTGGGTGCCACGGCGTTGGTGCAGTGCAACGAGGGCTTCACACTTTCCGGCAGTTCCATGACCATGTGCATGGCCAATGGCTCATGGTCGCTTCCCATCGGCAAGTGCTCCGGTAAGGATCACTCTCATGTGCCTACAGTAGGGTCCGGCGGATTCTGCCGGCAGAAAAATTGGCAGAATTCGGTACTTTTTCTGGTAGGTTTCATGCTTGTTTGGTATGTGGATAAAGAAATGGAGCAGAATTCGAGGAATTGCCCGCCATAAGGTTTGTATGGTTCTGCCAATTTCACTGCTTTTCGAGCAGAATCTGCCACTTTTTCGAGCAGAATCCGCCGGTCCCTAGCCTACAGCCACACAGACAAGCATACATGTACACACTGACAAGCATACATGTTAGGGCCGAAACGATTGCCCATTTTACCTAAACGATTAACCAATAACACTAACGATCGATTTATTGGTTTTACCGATTTTCCGAACAAGTTTTATACGTGCCATGTTGGACATCAGTATACAGCAAAAACAATTAAATTTGTTCAACTATATACAGGTACGTATGGGTGAAAGATCCACACAGGCCCCAAAAAGACCAAAATGAAATTTGCAACATGATATGAGCAGTGTTCCTCTGCCATTAAACATCAACGATCAGTCGTCTGTCATCTACAATGGAGAAGGGTCGACTGGAATCGACAATCCAGTCGATGATCGATTCCGTCAACATGCCTGAGCGCCTGCTGTCGCACGTTCGCAAGTTATCTGTGCCGAAGAACGACGTGACGGGCTTCATATCCAGCACTGTTCGTCGCATTGTCACTGCGCTCAACATTGCTGGTAGTCGCCGTTGCTGTCGACTGGGTTGCTGATCCTTTCCCTACCGCAGCGGCGTACTGGTCTTTATGAGCAGAAATCAGGTGCTGGAACAAGTTGGTTGTGCCGCTTTGACGGACGAACTCGCGGCTGCACGAATTGCATCTCGCTACGCTATCAGCTTCCTCGAAATATGCCCACGCTGGCGATCTCTTGGTCAGGTTAACTTTTGCTTTTCCAGGCGGCAGCATTGTCACTGCTCTCCTCGCCAAAAAATCAAAACTAACTAAGTTTTTGACAAGAACTGAACAAATTAGAAGGACGGCAGCCACACTCACAGTTTCGCTACAACCTAACAGTAATGAAGCTTTCCGGTTGTTACATTTTCCGGCTACGCTGACTAGTGCAGTGAATGTAGTGACTATGTACGACTACCCAAAAAGGATCAAGCGTGCGGACCTACGGCTTCATGCACGTCTACTTCGACGTTCATGTACTTGTGCGCATGACGCGCGTGCATGATGCCATGCATGGTCTGCATGTACTGACGTCATGACCGCTCTCGCACTGTACAGTCATAATCGTTATCGATCATAATATGATATAACGATTATCGATTTCATCCATAACGAGTGATATACGAGTAATCGGTATAATCGTTTCGGCCCTAATACATGTACACACACACACACACACACACACACACACACACACACACACACACACACACACACACACACACACACATTTGAATTGAATACTTTGGGATCCTCGGTGGAAAACAACCAACTTCATTTCTCACGTTTATAGAAAAGAAAAAAGGACCAAGAAACTACTTTTTTCTTTACTATAAATGTTTTATCCTTTGCTCTCCATCCGAGTCAATTTCTCATTTTATGATTTTTTTTAAGTATGACTGTACTTCTCTCATAATTATTTTGTTCGTTCTTAGTAGAAACGGGAGGTTTTTCCTCTGGTGAGAAGGCAGAGTTGCCTCTGCTCTAAACGAATTGAAATAAAAGAAACAAAGAAACAAAAATAAAACGCTATGCTCTTCATTCTGGCTTTTCTGCAGTATTAAAAATATAATTTTTAAATCACGCTTCACCTGAGACTGAGTTAGACTGAATTTTCAGCAGCCGTAGGATAATGGTGTAGGGTGGTGGCGTTCCAACGGATACTGAAACTCATAACAGCATACTGTAATGATAAAATTTATGAGCAACTTAAATGAGCAAAAACGTGGCTTTTTGTCACTTTTGAATTTTTTTTATAAAGCTTTCTGTACCTCGACATCACTGCGCAAAGAAACTTCAGTCAAACATGTTCATCCGTCACAGAGCTAGGGCTGTTTGAATTAACAAGCAACTGTATTTACATCCCCTTCTACAGTACTCGCAGCAGCCAGGTACGGTATAGTGGGACGGTCAAAGACCGTTATTGACAAACAGAGCCTACCAGGTTCAAGTCCTGCTTGGAAGCGAAAGAATTTTTTCCAGTCGTGCTGCAACCCACAGTTAGTAGGTAACTGGTGGCCAGGGAAACATGGACGCAGCGGATGGAACTTTCCGTCATGGCTTTGATCACTTTGGTGGTGGGTCTAGTCTACTCACCTCCCACCGCTTAGGAGCTGCATCTGCGCCTTTAATCTTTGCAGTGCGGTGGCGTTCCTATGGATGCTGAAAACTCAGCCTAACCGAGTCTCGAGCACATTACTTGGAAAGTTAAGTACATGAGTATTGTATTTATTTCACGGTTCGCTCGAGACTCGGTGAGGCTGAGTTTTCAGCATCCATAGGAACGCCACCGCACTGCAAAGATCAAAGGCGCAGATGCAGCTCCTAAGCGGTGGGAGGTGAGGAAATACGGTATAATTATTACATTACTGGATAATCCAATTGAGCTTGATTTTCCAGTAAACCGTCTGAAAAGATGGCGACAGAACATTCAAGGAACAAAGCATGTAGCTATAGCTTATTCTGTTTCTATGTGTGTCAAGTGTCAAGTTCAACACTAAAACCAGGCTTTTGTGCCAACAGTCACGTGCATCTTGAAAATCAGGCTTGTATTAAAAACGGGTTTCTATATGAGACTTCAGCGGAGGCGTTTGTTAGCACGCTAGGCACACCACAGGGTGATGGGCTGAGCCCGGTTCTGTTTGTTTGCTACCTGGAAGCAGCACTGAGGGAGACTCGAAGCAAACTACCACCACGGCCAGACACTGATGCAGCAATACCACAGGAAACAGGATATGCCGATGACATTTCCTCCTATTCGACTGAGCGACAATGGCTTGCCAACTCCCTACCCGTGATAGCTGACGGCCTGGGTGACTGGTCACTCAACGTTAACAGCAGCAAAACAGAGTGGCTTCACATCTCTGCCTCCACCACCGAATGGCGAAGATCGAAGCAACTTGGCTCTCTCATGGGGGAAGAGGAGGACTTGAGCCGACGAATGGACCAAGCATCAACATCATATGGCCGCATGTATTCGCTCTGGATACGACGTCAACTTGTATCCGAGGAAACCAGGCTTCGTCTCTACAATGCCATCGTCCTACCAACACTGTTAGACAACTGCGAAACCTGGGGACTGACAGAGGCTGCACTGGAGAGGCTGAACGCCTTCCATAGACGTCAACTACGGAACTTGTTCGGAATTAGGTATCCTGCCATCATCTCCAACAAAGACCTATATTCCAGAGCACACACACAGCCACTTTCGCACACCGTTGCTGTCTGCCGTTTCCGGATGTTGGGTCATGTTCTGAGGATGCCCTCAGATGCCCCGCCACAGCAGGCAATGGACAACTACTTCCGTCGAGATGTCACCGGTGTGCGTGGACGCCCGAAATCGAACCTGGCCACGGCAGTCAAGGCAAGCACAGCTGCCAGAGACATGCCACTGAAGACCATGACTGATCTGAGTGGGCTCAGAATGCACGCTTTGGACAAGCAATCATGGAGGGAACTCTCAGCCTGAGCTGGTTTTGCTCACGGCTGCAAGGCACGGGGTAGTGAACCCAGGACAGAAGCGGACCAGGCATCATGACTTTGCACATCTATCGTTATGCTGCTTCATTACGCGACCTGTTTTATTATTATTATTATTTTATGGCTCAACATCCGAGTTTCAAATTATTATAAGAGACAGGCTTTAAAAAAAGGTTTGCTCCCCACACCGGAGCTCGCGCTATTCCGCCGACTTTACTTGACACTTTGTCAAAACGTTTGAGGCCTTGTCCCCAAACGTCTGATTGCTACAAAAGCTAGAGGGGTGAGTTGGTTGGAATACGAACTTTCTTACAAACAAGAACACCAAAACTAATTTGAATACAGCAAAAAACGAAGGTATAAATCAAAGTATGAAGCGCAGGAGTAGCATCATGAGTACGAAGAAATTCATGAGGCAGCAGTGCATTGACATGACATGCACAACCATACTAATACATCATTTTATATTCGTGGGATGATTGAATCCGCGACACTCCGACAAGAAAGAAAGTAGTACACCTCATGAGATAATGAAGACTGGGTGGATTACACTGAGATGTAGTGATGGTGTTTTACAAAAGTATCTAGAGTCTAAGAAGTACTGCTACAGTCAAAATGCACTAGTATGACAAGCGAAGAACTACTTCAAAGTACATGGAACCTCATTACACAGAAGAGAAATGCACGTACGTAGATGTATTAGGAGAATTGTACGGGATTTATACTCCCGCCGGAGTAATTGTAAATAGAGGGAGAGTCATACATACGCGAACCGTAAAAGCAGTCTCATCATGATGTAAGGCACACATAGCTTGATGTTACCCACTTGGCGATCTTCTCACGTGCTGCGTCGGCCGACGCTCGAGGAGGACGCTTTGAAGTCACAACAGGTAGCGGAGGGGCATCATCCACTGGAGCCGGATCAGTAACATCAGAAGACACAGGCTGCTGACCTGGAGTGGAAGCATCAACTGGAATAACGTGCCTACACTCCAGGGAATATAGACGGGACAATGGGCGCTTGACGGTGTTGCCGGTTGACATGATGACTTGAGCTGTTCGAATCTGTCCATCCGTGGGACTACAGATGATCTTCGTGATACGACCCAGCTTCCATAGACAACGTGGGGTAGATTCCTCTTCGACGAGCACTACCTCGCCCAACTGGGGATGTGACGCTGTCTGTTGATGGCTTGCAGACGCTCGTTTGTCTGCACAGGATATTCTCTCTTGAAGGACTTGCAGATATTCCTTCTTCCACATCTGCCAGAACACTTCGCTTTGACGTTGCTGTCGTCCCCATTCT